CCTGGATCCTCGGATCCTGATGGATCCTGTGGATCCTACTGGATCCTGGTGAATCCTAATGGATCCTGGTGGATCCTAATGGATCCTCGTGGATCCTAGTGGATCCTATTGGGTCCTGGTGGATCCTGGTGGATCCTATTGGATCCTGGTGGATCCTGATGGATCCTAATGGATCCTAGTGGATCCTGACGAAACCTGATGAATTGTAGAATAAATTATTTCAAGCGTACAGAAACGAGGATGGAAAAGTTGATCTTAATGGATATGAGGATTCTTTAAGGTCCAAATAAATTAAGTGAGAAAAGGGAATAGTGACTTCAGAATTTGTAACTAAGTAACGAGAAAAAAAGATCCAGGATACCGAGATGATTATGTCTTGGTAAATTTTGGCATATCATCATGAATTCTGCGTATTTTTTGGATCCATCAAGATTTACGCTTCCTCGATCGGTTTGATATTATTGTAATACATGATGATTTCTATTGCATTCTAGTTATCTCTGATAAATTGTAATGGATTGTGTTGAATTATAGCCAATGGCGGTAATCTGTGACCGCTTTTGGTACACTTCTAGAAATATATTCTAAAATTTCTTAGGACTCTAGAATTCGCTTTTCTCCGTCAAACTAAGGATGCCAGAACTTAGAGCAACCCTCTACTTTAGTGTTAATCCTGTTTTTCCTTGAGAAAGTGTGAAAGAACATTGTGGGCTCCTGAATCTGAAGATTCGTGTCATATTTTATTCAGGATTCCGTTTCCAATTTTAATAATACTGGTTTGCAGGATATTTCATTGTGAAAAAAATATTCTTCTCAGGATCTTTTCAAGTTCCCACTCAGATTTCTTTATTATTTTAACATGATGGACCGTACTAGAATTCACTATTGATCTTACTCAAAACCTTGATAGGGATTACAGAAAGAATATCGCTTAGATTCTATTATAGTTTTAACAGAATTCGTTTGGGATCTCTGCGTCATGGTTCTCTCCTGGCTTACAGTTAAATAAGGCAAAGATCCTACAAGGAATTAATAGAAGAGCAATGAAAATCCTCAGGTAGTGGATTCTTCTAAGATTCAATCACGATTCTATCTAATTTTCTTAAGCATTCTTCTTACGAATATCTTTTCTGAACATTTCCAGGGTTGTCTTAGGGTCTCTTCAAGGACAAGCATTTCGGATCCTTCCTAGAGAAGGTCAAGGATGGCCAGGATCTTTCTCAAAGCATATCAAGGTTAGACGAAGATCTTTACCATTTTCATTTAGAGTCTACTAAAGCTTGATCTTGAGGATTGTAACAAGATCTATGGCTGATCTGGTTCAGGATTTTGAATAAAATTATGAAATGTTTCCACCAAAATCCTTAACAGTTCCTATTTAAGATTCTTCGAATATTTTTGAATCTTTGAATCTCAAAAACTCAAATTGTGCTTGTTAAATAAACTTTTAACAGTAACTATACTAAAATGACAATGAAGAATTTGCAATGTGTTTTGTTCCGGTTCTGACAGGAATGTAGAAGATCAAGAAGGTACCTGAATTTCATTCTAATATTCCTTTGTTTCTATGTGTCAATGAATGGAAGAATTCTGACAGAATTTTTGAAGATTTCTCGTCAAAGATTTTTAATATTTATCTTCAATATTGCATGACATTTATAGCATGGAACTCAGTTATTTTTTGAATTTTATTTTCATATAAAACTTGCAAACTCATTAAAATGGAGATTTTAATATCAGTTAACTGTTGCATTAACTTTTTCTTAAAAAAGCTTTTAGTAAAGGACGAGTACTTCAATAAAACTTGTACTGGATTTTATTTATTCGTGCTAATCAGAAAAATACCTTTTTATTCAAATTGAAATCAACCGGTCATAGTAGAATTTTATGATAAGTAATCAATAGATTAAGTTTATATTGAGTTTTTGTTCAAATAACTTATGTTTGCATAAAGTTCAAATACAAGTTAATAGTTCAGAGGGAATTCAAGATACAGAAGGTTTGAGTTAAATTAAATAGCATGGTACAGTCTACTGTGGTGAACTAATCAGTTTTTTAACTGAATATATAGAAATCAATAATGTGCGTTCATTTCTCTTTTCTGCTTAGAGAATCCTGCAAAAATTTTGACAATACATCGGATATCATCCTTACAGAATCGAAGTGGAGTTCTGCGAGGTGCAATCAGAAAATATTTTCCAATGAAGCCATTGAAATTCTGAGAAGAGCTTGACATAAAGTCAATACAAAATGACTCAGAATTTCTCTAAGATTTTGTTCTAATCATAACAGAATCGTGTTTATTTCGTGCCTACACGTTTTTCTGAGGATTTGACCCTCTATTAACATATTTTTAGTTTTAATTGCATTGGTAAACTGCTCAAAATACTGATAGAATCCTGTTATGAACCTTGTCGAGGTCTTGAAATTCCGCGGCTACACGGGTTTCTCAAGATTTAGCAGCTTCTTCGACGATATATGATTGGGAAATAGCAATAAACTGTTACGATCTTGATTGAATCTCAATTAAAATTCTGTCGGCATCTTAAAATTTTATGGGTACACACTTTTTTCCGTTTTTTGCATTTTCCTCGGAAAAAATGGTGAACCTGTGCAGCGCCGTTGCTGCCTATGTCAGAAATCTAGCTCAAAAAGACTTGAGCTTTTCTCTAGCAAAAATTCAACACTATCTAGTACAATCTTTTGAAATCCAGAAGAATTCAGTAGAAATTAACAAGCATCATAATAATCTGAAACCAATCAGGAACACCTAAATCTTGATGCATCTTATTCTATCGTATAAACCGCAGAACTCATTCAGATACTCAAAAGTTCATCGGGGCCCACCAGGCTCTCAATCTCCGAAATTTCTTTTTTCTTTGTTTTCAAAAATTCTACGGCCAATTCTTCGTCTGTTTACTTTGTTTCCATGTATTCTAATGGCTTCTGGTGGAGTCCAATAGATCGTGGGACGTCTCAAGGTCTGTTTTTCCTTTGTAAAGTAGACTAGTCATAGTTGTATAAATAGCACATGGTGCTCCCATTGATTCATCCAGAACATATTTTGAATTATGCATCCTTATTTTATGAATCTGGTTGATTTCCTTGCTTTTGTGGCTATTCAGAACATTAATCTATCTTCATAAATGATAATGAGTTCTAATGGATTCTGGTGGATCCTGATGGATCCTAATGGATCCTGATGGATCCTAATGGATCCT